TGGACTCAGGGGTTATCAGGCCTCTGGCGACACATTGCTGGGTTCTTCGAGGTACTGGGGGACACCTGGGTTGGTCTCTGCTATTCCCCTTCTGTCTAGATTATTGACTGTCTGAGTATTTTGCATGACAAAAAATATCCTGAACATAATGATGTGTCCTTGGCAACCCTGATCGTTTTGAGCTTTACAACAACTGTGGCCTTAAGATGAAGCTGCCTTTTCGTCTTCCTTCTTTCCTCTCCTTCGCCAGCTAAGAAACATTTATCTAAAAAGCTCTGGGTGCAGTGTCTGGCTGGTAGCGCCTCATGCTGTTCTATCATGTTTCTGTAGCTTCCACGCTTCTAGTTACCTTTATAAATATTCTTCTCCTGCACCCAGGCTGCCTCCTGTTACTAGGATGTGCAGTGAATGGTGAAGCTGCTTCCTAAATCTCAAACACACTGCCTCTCTTTCGACTTCAGAGCTGGCTGTGCCGGGGGCACTAATATTATCAAGCCTGGCGTCATTCACTCAATGTGATGGGCCCCATCTCTCCATTTATCAGTCACAGATGGATGGGGGATTTTTGAATCATTCTCTCGTCTGACTGCAGCTTTATAGATTCTCTTTTAGGAAGCAACTCACTTTTCCTCTTTCTTTCTCTGCCTTATGGTCCTTTCTTTGCTTCAGGGGTCCTGGTAGTTCAGGGTCTGCCTGTCAAGGCCCTTGGTTGTATTACTTCTTTCTCAGTCTCTGTTCAGGGTAATTCCTGTTCTGAGCAGATACATAAAGTCCACAGTTAATGTTAAAAGAGTGGTGACATCATTTTCCTTTAGGCTGGCTGGCCTGTGAGGCTCTCCTTTGCTCAGGATGCCATGCAGTTCGTGCTATTCAATGGCCTCTTTGGTCTGGTCCTGCTGATTCACCATTGGATAATTTGAGCTGAGATGCTTTTGTTTGGTCATAAAATGACCATATTTTCAGGAGATCAGAAATGTTCTTTTTTAAGGGAAGGAGTGTGTCTTACTGAAAACTGCAGGTTTAATGGTTTGAGACTTCCTAGACACGGGCTTAAAATGCCTGAAAAGAGCAGGCAGATGATGTGTACATGAAGCAGAGAGAGGTAAAAATGGGAAGTGAGGGTGCTTGAGGCAGGGGGAAGGGTGCATGCCCACCTAACATGTTCAAAGTCAATGTAAAAATAATCAGGCCCAATTCTGATCAGGAATCCTACTTTTGAAACACCTCTTCGAATCTGGGATCTTGCATTAGGGGGACCAACTGTCCTGGTCTGCCAAAGACTGAACGTTTTCTTGGGATGTGGGAATTTCAACCCTAATACTGCATCATTCCTAGAAAACTAGATGTCTGGTCACCCAGATCTAACACACTTTGTACATAGAAGCTTTATCTTAGACTGTAATTAAATAAAGCTTTAAAAAAACTGAGGAGGACTAATTGGATCAAAAGACTTTGCTTGTGAAAATCAAAAGAAAGTGTTTCTTTTTTTTTTTTCCTCTATAAGTTTGCAATTTTCAGTGGGGGAAAAAATAGCAATGCTCACCATTTTATTCTCCTTATGAGCAAAGCAAGACTTCAAACTCTATCTGAGGGATGACCCCTTTTCAGAAATTAGAGGCACTGAATTTACTGCCAGCCAGTCATAGCTGTCCATCTGCTAATTCTCTCCACATAGAGGGAGCAGCTGTCATTTCAGAAATGCTACAGTAGATAATAAGATGGGGGGGATTTCATCTTCAAATGCTTAAAACAAATCCCTGGGAAGAGCAGCAGCAGTTCCTCTGACTGCATGAATCTCAGATATTATTAACACAAAATGCCAAATGGATTTGGAGATTGGAAGCAAATGGATTTGCTTTAAAAAGAAAAGCCCTCAAGTTAGGTGTAGTACGTATTGTAATAATCTGCAATTGCATAGATATAGCAACAGCTGAAGCCATAGACACACACACAGATACTCTCAAAATCACAGCCATGCATAGAGCCCTGAATACAAATACAAACATACGGGCTTCCCAAATCCATTCAACCTATGTGTGCCCAAGGAATGCATTGTTGCCTCCATCCTTGCAAAACAAACAAAATTTAACCCCCAATTAACAGCTTCCCTATTTCACATTGGCTCAATTTCTCTCCAAATCCATGTACTTAGATCATCCTAGATGCCTTCCTCCTCTTTGTACTATTTAACAGCCTAAAGTCCAATCAGCAATTTATATTTGTTATCCTTTGCATCTTCTTAGATGATTTCTTTTCTCCTCAGTCTTATTACTTCCACCCTTTAGCATGCTCAAGTCAACTGGTACTTAAAACTAACCACAGCCTCTTGTCTAGGATTCCTAGCCAAGATTCTCCTCCCTTCCAATCAACCTCCATATAGCTCCCTGGTTGTTCTTCATAAGGAAAAAAAAAATAGGAAGAGGTAAGGAACCAAGGAACATAGTCCAAGTGGTGCTATGCATCCCTGAGGATTATAGATATGAATGAAGTTGTAGATACAGATAAAGATGGGTATGTGCATATGGATATACGTGTGGACATGACATGCATATAGATACAGGTGGAGATAAGTTATACAGATATTTCTCCATGGAGATCTCTAAAATATATATCATTTCATTTGATCCGCAAAATAATCTTGGGAGGTAGGTTAGGCATGCAAATATTTTTTTGCATATGAGAATATTGACTCTCAAGAGTCCTCTAAATCCCATACCTGGTGAAAGAGGCTTATTCTGATTGCAGCACAACACATCATTTTTTCTATTTTGGGGAATTATAATCCAGAATGGTATTTCTCCTATGTGGTAACCTATGAGGCTTTTCCATGTAGACATTGCCCCTGAACGTGATCTCTATGAGCACATGGAAAGAAGGGGTGGAGAGAGTTGACACGGAATCGCTGGCTACTGGCCACATCTATTGCCTGCATCTTCATTTACACAAACGGAAATGCTTTTAAAAGGCCTCAACTGATTTCATCAATTTTGATGTTGCAAAGAAAAACCAAATCCCCAGTGTTGATGAGAATCCAGGTCAAGGCCAGGAGAATCACAGAGCAGTTAAAGAGGATCCTGAGGCTCTGGGAAGTCGTGCCTGCAAGTGCCTTGATTTGAGAAAAGACATTCATTTAAACACAGCAAATATGCTCAGGAGCAAGTCTGGGACGCCTGCTTCCTTCCATTGCTATCGGCATGAAGGATCTGCTTCATAGTTTACCTTCATCTTTGGTCTCCAGGCAGAACAGATAAACCCTATTTTGAGATGTCATTGCTATTAAAAAGAAGAAAGGGGAAAAAAAAGCAAGAAAAGCACAAAAATAAGTCAGAGAGGAAGATACAAAAAACCTACCATTTCTCACGTCAAAATATTTTAGTGGTGAAATTGACATAAATTATTAATCTAAAGATTTTCGGTTTCCAGTGAGGTGTAAGAGGGGCTGACAAGCAGCAGGAAACTAATATTTAAAGATAATTTCAGAAACATGAAGATGAAAAAGTGGTGAAAGGAGGAGGCCGAACCTTTTTCTTTCCACCTCCAAGATTTGTTGAAAATGGTGTTCTTTGAAAAAACAGAAAACGTATCTGATTCTACATTTAAATGCTAATGCATTTATTCGTTCCAGATTATTTCCTGAATACCAACTCTGACACGGTTACTACATTAGGGTTTAGAAGGCAAATAGAAACTGTTCCTGCCCCCAGGAAGCTCATAGTCTCATGGGGAAAACAAGGGAAGTTAAAAAATGAAAAAATAAAAACCCATCCCAAATGGTTTTATAAGAACTCTGAATAAGGGGACGTCAGGATGCTATTGTGACACACAGGAGCAGACTGTAGTGGCCTAGGGGTTAGGGAAAGTTTCCCCTTGGGGCTGATCTCCTGAAAGTTGAATAGGTGGGAAGGGATGGAGCTGGGGGAGGCCTGGCAATGGACAGCAGGCACAATTGCTCAGAGGGAACTGTGAGCAATTTACTCGAGCTGGAGGATAGAAGGACAATGGCGGTAGGAGATGGGGGTTGGCAGGGCTAGGCGATCGAGGTGCCATATGCCCCTCCCACCCTGTGTACCTTGCTCTTTAGCCCTGTTGAGTAAATAGCATCCTAGCAGGACTCCTGGGAGTCTCCCCCTAGCATGGGCAGTGCTTGGTAATCTCTTGTTGTCTTGGGCTTTTAGGAAAACCTTACCTGACAGCTCAGCATCTCAGTTTCCTTCTCTCTGAATTGAAGGCAGTGCTATTACTAACCAGCTGTGTCACGTTTGTAAGGTTACTCGATACTTTCAGATGTGAACATCTCCATTTCCCAGGTGAGGGCACGTATGATTTTGAGATGATTTCTAGCTCTCATATTCCATGATGATGTCTTTGAACAAGAGACTCTGGCTCTCTGGGTAAATGTCAAGCTTTCTGTTCATCTATATGGACAGGGAGGAAGCAATGTGATAGGAGAAAGAGCTTTCTTCTTTTTCAGAGGCAAACAGACTTGGATGTGAAGCCTAGATCTTAGTTATGTGATCCTGGGCCATTTATTTAATCATTTCTAAGCTTCAGTGTCTTCACTGAGGTGCAATGTTATCCACCTGGCATAGTTACTGGGCCAGCTGGAAATATCACGTATAACACATCCAGAGTGACAGATTGAGCTCAACTTAATTATTTGTAGAATTGAAGGTCCCAGAGCCTAGAGAAATTTTGCAAGTTTGTTCTCCATGGATGTGTATAGCAGGGAACTACATTTCCCAAACTTTGTCTTAAAGCTCTGATAACCCAACATCGAGTCAAATATGGTTTCTAGTTCTTTTTGGAGCTGCGAATAATCACGACACTTTGGGAGCTTACAGGACAGATCTGCAGCTTTCTGGACATCTGCAGTTGAAGCCAGTTGGGCAGAAGTCAGAGGGAAGTTGGATTCATTAGTTTAATTGTTTTTCTTGTCGAGCTTTATTTTCTCAAGATATTTTCTTCTAAATGTCTATTTATTTGCTTGTTTGTTCCCGCAGTCACAGATGCTCGCTGAGAGGAGAGGACTTGAACAGACAATGGCTCTCTCCCCGTGCTCATCTCCAGCCAACAATTTACCACGCCAAAGGACTCCTCTACTACCTGAGCAGCATCGGCCGGAGTCCCGTGGTGAGTCGCTTCCTTCTGCCTCCACATTATCAGCTGGTTCCTTGTACCTTCCAGGAGGCAGATTACTTGCTATTGAGGCAAGAGAACCTGATACAAGCCAAGGACCTGTGTGTGACAAGCTCTAATGGGGGTCGTATTCATTTCCTTGAGCTGCCATAACATAGTACCACAAATTGAGTGGCTTAAAACAACAGAAATATATTCTCTCACATTTCTGGAGGCTGGAAGTCTGAAATCAAGGTGTGAGCAGGCCATGGTCTTTTGGAAGTCTCTAGAAAAGAACCCTTCATTGTCTCTTGCTGGCATCTGACGATTGCCAGGAATCCTTAGTGTCGTTGGCTTGTGACAGCACAACTCCACTTTCTGCCTCTGTCTTCACATGGCCATCTTCCCTCTGTGTGGGTCTGTGTACACATTTCCCTCTTTTTCTAAGGACAGCAGTCATTGGATTAGGGCCCACCCTAATTCAGCATGGTCTCTTCTTAACTTGATTACATCTGCAAAGACCCCATTTCCAGATAAGGTTCCCTTTACGGGCACTGGGAATTCAAGCTTCAACATGTTCTTTGGGGAGCTACAATTTAACCCACAACAGGGGTAACCCATTGGGTCAATACTTATTGGTGAAAACTGGGCAAGGAATTACATTTCATTCTATTTCCTGTGTCTTTATTTTTCTGGTTTTTGAGTTATTGGTCAAGAGAGAAAAAGTATATACCTATTAAATAGTGTTTGGAACAATAATCCTCTAAGTGTTCATATTCATGTTCAACTAGTACTTGTTAAATTCCAAGATGATTCTAGCACTGTTCTATGCATATTCCATGAGTAGGCTTTTCTCCCAAGCCTGTAGCAACTGTGTAATTGATGAGAAACAGACTATTTCAAACCCGAGGTTTAGATATAAGAAATAAGAAAGGAGCAATAGTAACCAAGTAACTATGAAAACAATCATTTATTAACTACAGACTATAAACATGTCTGTCTGCATATGTCCAAATTTAGAGTGCTTGCCTAACTGAAGAAACTTAAAATAGCGTGGAGAAGATCACAGATGGGCCAACTCAAACAATTACCTCTACTACTGACCACTTTTTAACGTATGCCATGTGATGAAAAAAGTGGCACATTCAATGAATATCTCTTGAAACAATAGATATCTAATATAGAATCTTATTTAAATCCCAAAAAGATTAAGAGGTCAGTGATTTCCCTGAGGTCAGTGGAAAACACTGAGATTCAGTTGTGATCTTTCTACCCTGCAATCCCGTTTCTCTTCATCACTTACTCTTTGAGAGTGTTTTGGGGGTCCTCAAGACTATCTTCAGGTTCAGTGATTCCCTAGAAGGACTCATCAAACTCGGAATAGCTATTATTCTCATAATTATGGGTTATTACAGAAAAAGAATACAGATTGAAATCAGCAAAGGTAAAACGTGCATAGGGTGGAGTCCAGGAGAGACAGGCTTCAGGTGTCCACTGCCAGTGGAGCTGTTTGGACAGTGCTTAATTCTCCACCAATGATGTGTGATGACCTGTAGAGTATTGCCAACCAGGGAGGCTCATCTGAGCCTTGGTATCTAGCAATTTTATTGGGGTTCAGTTTGTAAACATGAAGCACCCCACATGGCTGATCTTAGTTACTCAGTCTCCAGCCCCTTCAGAGGTCAAAGTGACACTGTGTGGTCCAAGACCCCCACTGTAAATTACATTGTCAACCTGAAGGAGCTGGCACGGCCCAAGGCTTCAGGTAAAGAAAGGCTCTCTTATCCAGAGGGGTCTTCTGAAGACCTCAAGGCGATCTCCCAGGAGCCAGTCAAGAGCCAGACCTTGCTTTGTAAAGTGCAGAGTTTGAAAACTTCACACTTGCTGAGTCAACCATTTATTGCAAAGGAGCAAAACACGTCGTTTCCTCCTAAGAAGCCTTGTTCTTCGCTAGTCAAAATGTGCAATATTTTCATGCTAAGTCTTATGCTTTCCTTCAAGGAGACACAGCAATCTATGCATTCTACCCTCTAGAAACAATTCATGGCCTGAATAGCAGAGCACCAATCTCATGGTCAAGGCCTGGGAAAAGCGTATTCTCTGAGTAAGAAGCCTTAACCTCTGGAAGGAGAGAGAAAGACTTACAGGGAAAGAAGTCCCTACCTGATACACATTTGAACACACACATATTCAGCCCATAAGAAACAGGATTCCTCTCTTCTCTGACAACTCTAATTGAAGAGCAGAACAATTGTTTTAAAGCATGACAGGTGAAAGGCTTGTTTAAAAATATAAATAAACATTAATTAGCTGTAAACATGACAGCCGCAGACTTGTTCCCTGCTGGGACCATCTGAGAGGTGGGTGAGAAACAGCTGAGGACTAAACACTGTTCCCAGTGTTACAAAGCTCTCTAATGGGCTCAACATCACCTTTTAGTTACTTATAAGGCTATATTTAACCAGCCTCCTGCTGACAGCAGAAGCACTGCCGCTCATTCGGTACTCAGGCCCGTCCTGGACCGGGGAGATTTCCACTGTGTCAAGATCGACTCTTTGGCTACATGGCTGCAGATTAACTGTGACTCTACCTGGCCTCTGATTCTTAAGGAAATACTTCCTGAACCATCAGGAAGCCACTTTCTGGTGGCTAGGACGCTCCACCTAGTCTAGATGATACTCAGGCGTTTGTCTAATGGTGGGTAGAATAATATGAACTCCCAGGACCAATGAAAACGTGACACAGTGAGAGAAAGCAACAGCCTGATACTGCTGGGGGTTGCTAAAGACCACACAAGTTATTCAGTTTATAAGCAAGACGGCAATGTTCACATATTGTTTCATCCACCAACCCGTCCATCCACCCAATCATCTATCCATCCATCCATCATCTGCCCACCTATCTATCCATCTATCTATACATCCATCTGTCCCCTCACTGGTCTGGGCAGTCATCCATTTGTCCATTTGTTTACACTATGTGTGTATAATCACTGTGCTAGATGCCAGGGGTAAGAAGCCAATTAAAAAAAAAAAGATTGTCTTTTCCTTTGAAGAGTCCATAGTTGACTTTGGTAGAAAGCGGAGTCAGGCCGGAAAGAAACCAATATAGTACAAAATGGTAAAAACTGTAACAAAGACTCATGTGAGTTGTTGTAGGAACAAAAATAAGAGGTTGAATCATTTTCCCTCAGGGTTGTGGAAAAGCTAGAGACTGGAGGTGCCATTTGAGCTGGACTGAAAGATGAGTAAGAGTTGCGCTTGGTTTTCATTATAGTAAGACTGAGAAATATTCTTTCTGCAAAGAGTCTCCAGGCTGATGATCTCTTAGATCTTCTGCCATGTAAAATTGGAATTCTGGAAAGTTTTCTGTGCTTGGGGTCACTCTATAGGGCAGAGGAAATGAAACTTTTCATTAACTGGTGGCAGAGACTCATCTGCTATCACGCTGACCCTATGGTCCTTTTCTTATTCTCTTGAATTCTGATTTTTTGTCTTTCTTGTTTGTTAGAGGGTCAGGGAACCTGTGCTAAATGTTGTATCCAAAAGCTCAGAAATGTAGTAAATGATGATATATCCATACATTGGAATACTATTCAGCGAGAAAAAATAAAACAACAACAATGCACTACAGATGCACTAAAGAAACGTGGATGAATTTCAGACGCATGTTGAGTGAAATATACTAGACACTAAAGAGTGTGTATACTATGTTTCTATTTATGTAAAGCTCAAGATGAGTAAATCTATGAAGATAGAAATCGGAACAGTGGTTGCCTCTAGAAGGGTATTAACTAATAGGAGCCAGAAGGGAACTTTCTAGGTTACTGGAAATGCTCTATATTTTGCATGAAGAGTGAATTACATGAAAACTCATTGACCTGTGCATTCAAGATCTGTGCGTTTCACTCTAGGTACACACTTACCTAATAACAGAAAATTAAGGGTAAATAAATCAAAGCAAAGTTGCAGAGCTTTGAAATGTAACTAGGAGATAAAGGGGGCTCCCCAAAATAAGACTGAGCAGGATAGAGGCATGCAATTCAAGCCAAGGAAGACATCTTTGCTAGAACAGAATAGAAAGTCTGTAGAAGATCTATTTAGAAGTCAGAAAGATCCAGCTGGAGAAAAGACATGCAAGCAGAGAAGCCCAAAGAAGCAAATGGGCTCAAGGATCCTTGACCTGGTTCCTTTTAGTGGAGCTCCCCACAAGGGAGGAGGCACGTGACCCAGGGGGCAATCAGGCACAGCTTCGGGGCACGGAGAAAAGCTCTTAGGCTCCAGCAAGCGCCCGGGAAGCCAGGCCAACAGCCTCTTCTGAGCTGCCATGTTGCAGCTGGCCTGATCCCTGTGCCACTGCAAAGAATCTGGGTTTCAGAATGAGGAGCAGTATCGATTCCCATCCTCTTGGCTCTCACTATGTGAGCGCCTGTTGGCAAAGGGATTTCAGTGCTCTTTGAAGAGCTCATTGATTTCCATTTACAACTCACACAAACTAGGCCGCCTTCTGCCAAGGGACAGGGCGGGCATACTTTGGTTTTATCTTTCTCTGGAGCCCAGTGGAACAGAATTTTTAGCTACTTAAATGATTTTCCTGGTCTTATTCTGTCCCTCTGGCATATTCTTTTAGTTAATCAGCTTCTTTTAAAAGAGGCACACAAGGAGAGGGCAAGAAGGGGTGGCATTTCCCGTCCTAAAACCTTGTCTCCGGGGCCCTCCAGGATCTCTGTACACACTATTTATTTTATCTCCACTTTATTCCTCAGAAGTGGCAGAAGAGCAAGTGTTATTTTTGCCTGTTTCATTCACTCATGCTGAGGTAGTAAATCGAGCATTCTCCTCTTTTTGTATTTGAGGCTACAGTAGAGAAAAAGAAAAAACAAATCCTGCTGCCATGGTTGGGGAAGGGGGACGGTATGACCGTGCAGGTACTGGGTGAAAAAATCTAAATTTGATTCCATATTATTTTATTGAAAGTGGTTCCCACGCTAGCAGAATAAAGATTAAGCAGTGCTT